AAATTAAAAACTGAATAAATCTTTTAAAAAATGTTTCTGTTTTAAATATGTCCATTCATAAGTATCAATATTCATCTTAAGTTTTAAAAAGGTCATTTTCCACTAAAACATCACTTACAACCAACTTTCTCATTTACCCCCAAATTATTTTTATTTTTATTTTTTTCCCTCAGTATTTGGAAATTTCAACAGAGGGACATAAAAATTCCGGCCACATGCGAAACCACAGAGGGTCACAGAACAGCATGAAGCTAGCTAGCTGTGTTCTTTTCTCTGGACTGTTTGTTTACTCATTCGGCTATTACTAGCAAAGAGAAGACATGTCAATATAATCTTATTTTATTTTTATATTAGGAAGATTTCTTATTACACCTTAAAATGTAACCCAGAGGATGTAGTTAAAATGTAATTATAATGATACCAACCCTCTCCTTCAGGACATGATGACATTGCTGGAAGTGGCCACAAAACTTTGTTGTGTGACCTCAAGTGGGAAATATCTCTCATTCCTAAAATAGTCTTTTTCAGAGTTTGCTACTTTGTTTTTCAGAACCAAAATCTTCCCTTTAGGACACAAAATATGACTATACTTATCAGCTAGTTGTTCATTGTTCTGGACACATACCAATGTTTTCTTACCAAATTAGAACATACTTATTCTTCTAAGTTTTTAGTTTTTTAGTTCATGTTTATCTGCATTGTTATTTTATTGTAGCTGCTATGACTTTCTTAGTTCTCATGAACTAGATTTTCTCTTATGCCTGGCCGTTCCTCTTCTAGTTATCTATTGCTATGTAACACACTATCTCGAAACTCAGTGGTTTAAACACCAATTTATTATTATCTCTCAAGGTTTTCTATGGGTTGACTTGGCTCAGCTACGAGGATCTCACTTGGCATCTGCCCTTTCAGATATTCAGGGAGGGGCAGGTATAAAAGTTACCTGAGGACTTGACTGGGCTGTGTGACCCAGATGCCACCTTAGTGCTTCATCACATGACCTGTCTCTTCAGCAGCACAGGATGAAGAGAGAGGTTCCTACATGGTGGCTCAAGACTTAGAACACTCAGTGGGTTAAAAACTCATTAACTGGATTTGTTGGTCTAAGAATAAAAGTTGCTGGGCAAATTACATCCAGTTATGCTCTCTTCTTTCTCAGGAGGCCTCTTCCTTCCTGAGGTCCTTTGTCTGTTCAAGCCTCAGTGGACTGGATGATGCTTACCCACAGTCTACTGCACTGAGATCCACTATTCAAATGCTAATCTTATCCAGAAGTGCTCTCAGGCACATTCTGAAATAATGTTTAATTTGAGCATCCTTTGGCCCAGTAAGTTGACTCATAGAATTTACACGAGGTTTGATGATAACCCATTCTACAAAGCAGAAGTAATGGTCTCTGTTGGGCAGTTTTGCCATAATTGTCCTATAGCTAGAGTCAAGATCAAACTTTCCCTCAGCTGGCTAAAGGTTGAGACCTATCCTATAATCTCTTTAATAAAATTTCAAAAGATAATTACTATAGTGAAAAAAATTATCCTTAAATATTACTTATCAAAGATAATACTTCTTGATGCATTCAGGTCTGGAAACTATATGAAGCATTTTATTAAGTATCTGCAGAAAGGAGACAACTCCCAGAACACCAGAAATTTTACTATTTTTTTAAGAGTGTGAAACAAAAGACCAAGTCTCAAGTTGGAAGAAAAGAAAATAAAAGAAAAAAGGAATGAATTCACTAATAGTCTGTTTATATTTTAAGTTATTAAACAGCTAAATTATAAACTAATCAAATTTTTATACTTAGGACTTTAATCAATCATTTTAATCAAGATTCAACAAACTATGGCCTTTGGGCCAAATCTGGCCCATTACCTGTTTTTGCAAATAAAGTTTTATTGGAACACAGCCAAGCTTATTTTTTAACATAATGTCTATGGCTGCTTTTACTACAGACAGATTTGAGTAGTTGTGACAGAAACCATATGGCCTGCAAAGCGAAAAATATTTTCTATCTAATCCTTTACAGAAAGAGTTTGCTGACTTCTGTTTTAGGAAGAAAGTTTGATGACCCCTGACTGAAATAGTGAAGAGTGAATTATCTCTGAATTTTAAAAAGAGATCAGACAAGTTCTGCGTACTTTGATGGAGGTTTTATCTTCTTGATATGGGATGTCAGTGAAATACAAGGGGGAAAACATCCTGAAAAAGAACAGAATAAAATATAATGCAATTCACATGGGACATTTTTTTCTTGGACCAACAAACCGAGTTAGTGTTTCTAACCCACAGAGTATTTTCAATATCTTAGAACAGAAAATATTTACAAATGTTTGCATTTGGGTAAACAGAAGGTCCAAGTGATTGCTTCATGGTTTCCTTTTAATTAATATTCCTCTGTGTGTCTAGCTCCTTCAGAATAGCCCAAGACACTCATAAGCCTCCCACATTTTAGAATCTGGAAGACGTATGTAGAGGACAAACTCCGTTGCACTTCCTGACAGCCTTACCCATTTCTATATAGACTCATGGGCAACGATTGACTGCAGTCCCACCTGAGTCCTGGCAAAGGGTCCTGTGATTTCACATGCAGCAAGGAGGGAGAAGTAGTTGGTGAAGAGATGCCATAGGGGTGTCTCATTCACCCCTTTATGTTATGGGAGATGGTCCAAGACCATTTCTCATATATCCCTAGTTTCCTTTGTGCATGAAGCTTTCAGCCTTGGACATCTTAGGGTTTCACTGCAGACTTTTGTGTAAGCCCAGCTGCATGTCTGGAGTTGAGAGCTGCCTCTTCAATGGCAGAATGACCTACCACCTGTGCTGTCATGTGGCCCTCCCGCTCAGTGTTATCTGTGGGGTCAACAATGCAGGTTGCTGGTGCCATGCTGATCCTGGTTCTGCTCTTAGTGTAAGTAATAAACTGTTCAACACTGTTTGAGCCCATTATCTCCCTAGTGGCTGAACCAATGGAATTGTGGCATGTGACTCTTACAGCACAGCTGAGATCCTCATGACTCTGTTGTCCATCCCGCTGCCACTTAGGGAATATTTGACGGCTTGACAAGGGACAGTTTGACAACAGCATGAAAGGATATTTCTCTTTTTTATTAGTTGTCTATGTTCTCAAAGAGACTCTTCTTTTTGATCATCTGAGCATGACATAAAACCTGTAAAATCACTTATTAACTCTAAGGGGCAAAAGAGTAAACTATCATTGGGGTTGCTATTATCCCAAATTTCCTCTTCTGATTCCCAGTTAAATTCACTTAACAGGGTGATTGATCTTTTCATACAAAGAAGGAAGCTCTGAGAGGTATATAGGATGTGGAGCCTGGAGCAGCCTCCTATCCTTCACCTACGCATTATGTCATCTCAGTTGCTAAATGTCTGTAACTCAGTTTCATTACCTGTAAAATGACAACTTCCAGTAACTGTTAGAGTTAAAGGTAGTAACATATGTAAAATTCTTGGAATAGAACTGGCACACAGTAGGTGTATAATAAGCATTAGCTATAATATTAATGAAAATAGTGGTTCTCAAACTCTAAGTTGTCACTTTGAGGACAGGGTTCTTTGCTTTCATACACTCAGTATCTCAGCATTGTCCTGCTCCATAGTAGATGTTCGATACATTTTATACATAAACAAATAATAAAATTAAAAAAATTGTTTTCTTGCTTCTCCCCACTGTCTGCTTTCCTTCACAACTTTTATTGGAAATTTGTTTTTACAGTTACATTAAAGCATAAATTGCAGTTAAGGGTTTGCATATCAGCCCTCTTTGTGTGTGTGCATTTGTGTGTAAAAGTTTTCTACCTTATTTCACTCCCTACTCCAACTAAAACCAAATTAAGTAGGAGTAAGGTTGACAAATATAACATGGAATAGTCAATTAAATTTGAATTTCAGACCAGCAATCATTTAGTATAAGTATGGTCCAAATATTTCATGAAGATCAACTAGTGCATGGAACATACTTATGTTAAACATCATTCATTATCTGTAATTCAAATGTAAAAAGGCATCCTACATTTTTATTTGTTCAAGCTGGCAACTCTAATAAAGCCCATTTATTCCCCCTGATGTATATGACTGACCCCGCCCACAAGCATATCAAAATCTTAGATATGTTGACTCATCTATAAGATAAATCTGAATTTTAAGTCATAGTGGAAATACGCTTTTTAAAAAAGATTTTATTTATTTATTTTATAAAGAGAGGTAGGGAGGAAGGGAAAGAGGAAAAGAAACATTGATTGATTGCTTCTCTCATGCCACCTGCTGGGGTCCTGGCCGGAAACCCAAGCATGTACCCTGACTGGGAATCAAACCAATGGCCTTTCAATTTATGGGACAACACCCTACCCACTGAATACACCAGTCATGGTGGAAATAAGCTTTTATTCTTTAGCTGAATTGTTCCCTTACTTGCCTCACATTTTTTCCATCCTAAATCTCTCATTTTCCTTCATATAAACATTTGAAGGATTACATTTTTATTTGTGATGAAACCCATAGATAGAATATACATACAGGTCACATAAAATACATGAGGGTAATAATTAAAGTATACAGTGTTGGATAGGTAGCATGATTAAAGAACTACACATTTATGGTATACAGTGTCATTAATGTCAATGAATTTTTTCTTAGAAGCATTCTTGCACAAAAATGTTTTAGCTGTAATAGAGCAAACATGTTAAAAATATTATTCATAGAACTACAGCTTCAAAATATTCGATCAAACTCTATCTCATGGATTGGTTTATCACTTGATAAATGGCTCTGATTTACAATAACCTTTCAATAACATACCAGAGAAAAGCAACATGCAGCCCCTTACTTGCAGAAGCAATTACAGAAAATCACTTTGGAACAGCAGCACCATTCCACATTATAACATGCACGTGTGTTATATTGCACCTTCCTGAGTTGAACTTTGAAAACTGTAGCCCCATGAAACACCAGAGTGAATCAATTCATCCCAGGTTGGGCCTTCACTAGTGGTAGAAGTAATTTTGACCATCATAGCTATCATAGCTACGCCCTTTATAGTAGCTGTACTCATCCTCATAGGCTCGGTAATTGTCTCCTCGAGGTTCCCCATTCTCGTTTTCATAGACTTCATATCCATTGTCATATTCATTGGTGCCCGTTTGTTCATACTCCCCCCCATACTCCGTGGTGGTGGTTCCCCCCAGTGGTGGGGGAGTGGTCCTATAGACTTCCTGTGGTGGAGTTGTAGGTTCAAACCCACCATTGTCCTGCTTTCCAGCCACTGTGGTTCCTTCTGCATTGGCATCAGGGACACTTTCTTCTTCTTCTTCTTCTCCATTGTCTCCACCACTGCTGCCATTGCCATTTTCAGTCTCTGTGCTGTTGGTGCTGGTTCCATTTATGCCTTGCCCGTTTTCATCCACTTCTGCTTCATTTTCTTCATTTTCATTTTCTTCCTCTTCCTCTTCTTCTTCTTCATCACTTTCTTCCTTTTTTGTAGCCTTCTTTCCTATATCACTAGCCTGTAAGGAAAGATTTGAAAGAATCCAAATGTAGGCATGAAAATGGTAAAACTTAAGACCATCACCTCATCCAACACAGATGGTACTCACATGTTCTGGATGTAATTCTGAATCAAAACCATTTAATTTATGAAATAAATTCAGAATTAATACTTCAAATTTCAGAATTAGTACTTCTGTCATTGGGTTTTGATGGCAAAAGATGTACCTGATAAATAAGCCTCTGGGAGAGATGCTTTCTATAGATTTGCTACTCATGTTCCCTGTCTTGGAATCCTCGTCTCTGACATGTAATGGCACCTCTTGAGATATTTTATTTATTGCTAAGATGTTTGTCCTTAATCTTCTTTTATAATGTAAAAATCCCTGTAATGATGGGGGAAGAGAACTTGCCTGGAAAAAGATCTTTCTTTATTTGTAAATTGGAAAAATATGCCTGTTCTTGCTTGCTCAGTGGGTTAGAATACTGTGTGGATAGTGTAAGGATAACCTTAGACTTCAGTAGAGGAATAAAATCAGATTGAACATTTTGGAGGAATTATTACCCTCTTGGGAAGTTGGATTGCGGCTAGACCTGCATTTCCTGTTCCAGGTGTGGTCTCCTCGCCATAGCCAGGTGTTGTAGCGGAAAGGGTGGAGTTCTCAGCCTCAGATTCTTTATCTTCATTTTCATTAGACTCTTCATTGTTTTCTTCTTCATTTGAAGTTTCCTGGTAGAAGTATCCAGAGCAATAAAAGTTATTTTAGAAAGAAGATTTGTTAGAGTCACAAAGCACTGTTGGAAAAGAACTTTGTATCCCTCAGCCAGGGCTTCACCCAATGTTGATAATTCTCCTTCCTCTTATGCCAACTGCACTTCTAACTTCTAACTCAACTCAAAGCTACCACATCCTATTTACCTCACTATAGTGTGTTTTATATATTTTTACTTTCTACTTATCACTTCAAAAATATTTGTGTAATAATTTCAGCATATCTTATTATATGGTATCAGATCATACAGAGCTTAGGCTCTTAAAGTCTATCAATTACAGTCTTTTTAGTTAATTAATTTAATTTGTTTCATTATACTGAAGTTGATTATAATAGTTTAATTTAAATAATTAAAACTAAAATATTTTATTAATAGCTACTACAATGTGGTAGTAAATTAATTCTTATATTTGCTGACAAATAAGTTGAGAACTTTCTACCTATTTTTTTAATTTTTTATAGCAGCCCTGTAAGGTAGAATCATTGCTCTTACTTTAAAAATAAAAAGCTAGTCCTGGCTGGTGTAGCTCAGTGGATTAAGTGTGGGCCTGTGAACCAAAGGGTTGCTGGTTTGATTCCCAGTCAAGACATGTGCCTGGTTTGCTGGCCAGGTCCTGAGTAGGGGGCATGCGAGAGGCAACCACACACTGATGTTTCTCTTCCTCTCTTTGTTCCTCCTTTACCCTCTGTCTAAAAGTATATAAACAAAATCTTTTAAAAAAGAAATTAAGCTCAGAAAAGCTATAGAACTTGCTTAAGGTCTCATAATAAATGGTGAAGCTATATCTTTCTAGCTCAAAAAGTTGAGCCCTTTGAAATGCATCATGAAGTTTTTGATGATGATTAGAATTTATATAAATTGTCCACACTACACCTAGGATATATTTTTCGAAGGGGATTTAAAAAAATAAATCAGTTATTTTCAACCAAATTGATAACATATCTTATGTACTACCAAAAGAAGTAATTATATCTTATTTGTTTTCATGTTTATTAAAAGAAAAAAGATACATCTAATTCAAAATCCACCTGCCAATATGTAAGCCACTTGTGTGCCACAGGCAGTATTCAAAAAAATATCAGGAATTTGACACACAATTTTTGTGTGCATTGAAAATACTTAACAGTCTATGAAATTCTGAATGTACTATGCTAGTGTATGAATATGATTTTTAATAATTGCCACTCCTCAAATAATGCTTACTGTAATCTTAACATTTTAGTCTTTTTTCTTTACTCAATGTTGTTAGGCAATTGTTTGTTAATTGAGTTAATCTCACAAAGTAATTTATAGCTAATATTAAAAATCAGAAATTCATGTATATAGAATTTATTCACTTTAAACGAGTCCTAGAAAGTTGAATTCATTTTAATGTATTTTTAAAAATACTGTGATGTTAGAATTACTTTAGGAATCCTATATTTTAAGACTCGAAAAACAAACAAAACCTAGATTTAGCCTGCCTTATTATTAAAACAAATGACTAAAAAATATGTTTGTTTCAGCAAATTTGTAAATTCCACTGTTTCGATGAACTCTTGGGAATATTATAGTCAACCCCAAAACATTCTCCAAGCTAACTGTGTCAAATATTCTGCAAACATTGTACTGTTCATTTATGTTTTTAATGTTTATGCTTTAGTTCAACAGACTAAATAATTCAGGGGTAGAGAAGGAAAGATCCTTAGAGTAGGAGAATATACAACTTGGGTCCTGTACCCTCATTTTACAGGTGCAAAATCCAAGGTGCAATAGAATAAATTACTTGTATGAAGTCAAATATGCAGCAACTCATTAGTGGCAGGGTTGTGAGTATAGGCCCAAGCTCCCTATTTATAGACATCTGCATTTTCTCCTATAATACCCTGTCTTTTCCTAGATACTTTACTTGAGCATATACTGCTGAAATAAGTTAAAGAAAAATAGGTCAGTCTGTTGTTGATGGACATTAGGCTTCAAATATCTTATTGGTTAGAACAATTAGCAATAATTTGTGCTTTAAAAAGTAATGTTAACCCACTCAAATTCCTAAAATGACTGAAAGAAAAAATGTTGGTGAAAATGTAGAATAACTAGAACCCTCATACTGACAGTGGGAGTTTACATTGGTACATATGCTTTGGAAAGCTGTTTAGTTGCATCTACTCAGCTTTGACTTAGAAATTTTACTTCTAGGTAAATTAGTTGCCAGAAATGAATGCATATGTTTACCAGAAGGAATACTAGAATGTTCACAGCAGTACTCTTTGTTATAACCCACACCTGTAAAATACCCAAATGCCCATAAACAGAAAAATAATACATTGTGGTACATTCACATAATGAAATACTAACAATGAGAATAAGTAATTTACCACTACAGAACAATATGGCTCAGTCTCTGAAATTGAGGGTAGAACAGGTCACACACAAAGGAGTATGCGCTGTGTGATTCTAAATATACATGTAATGCACAAAAGGAAGTAAAAACAATCTGTTAGGAATCAAAATAGCAGTTGCCCTTGATGGGGCTTTGTTAATGGGTGGAATGGAGCCCACAGCATGTGTGGCTTTTTGTTATGAGTGCTGGTTACACTTGTGTGCTCAATTTCTGAAATTTCAATGATCTGTATACTTAGGATAATTGTATTATGTGTATATTTCAATAAAGGTTTTGTATTTATTGAGGCCAAATAGTTTAGAAGTGGAAAAATATATGTGTACCAAATAGAAAATATGCCTAAGCACCTTCTCATGTGGATACAATTCCTGGGGACTCTGTATTTAATCTGAACTGCCAACAAACTTTTAGGGAAAAATAGGGGGAAAAGTTCTTGCAAAATTCTTTAGAATGGAAAACTCCCAGGTTTACTCATCTACTTTTCCATGACCAGGTTTAATGAATAATTCTTGGAGCATTTATTCCTCTGAAGTTTTAAAACCGACCAACCAAATATATACATATATATTTATATGGGCAATATATATAAATATGAAACTGTGCTACAAAGAATAAAGCACTGTTCCTCTCTGAAGAGGAAGAAACCTATAGTCTCTAAGTTTCCTGGATCATGGGGAGTTCGAAGATAAGTTCTGAAAGGACCGTAAATGTTCAGAGATTGTTGGGAAAATTTTGAGTGTGTCTAATTTCATCAGAGTCCTAAAGGAGTGCTATTCATCCTTCACCCCCAATCACTGTCACATAAAGTGAAGAACCATTGCTGAAAGGTGTACAATCTGTTCGGGAAGTCTAGCTGATGAGGCAACTTTACAATACTGTACACCAAGCAACTGTAGTGAAATGGATTGCCTTAGCTTAGTTCTTGTGTAAGATAGGCAAAATTTTGTAGGATTTAGTGGGTGCCGTTTTTCTTGGTACTGGCTTGACATTCTTTTTTATTTTTATTTTTATTTCATTGTTGTTCAATTACAATTGTCTGCATTTTCCCCCTACCACTCCCCCCACCACACCCCAGCCAAACCTCCCTCCCTCCCTTGCTTCTACTCTCTGCCTTGGTTTTGTTCATGTGTCCTTTATAGTAGTTCCTGAAAATCCTTCCCCCCACTGTCCCCTCTCCCCCTCCCCCTTTGGCTAGTGTTAGATTGTTCTTAATTTCAATGACTCTGGTTATATTTTGTTTGCTTTTTTCTTTTGTCAATTATGTTCCAATTAAAGGTGAGATCATATGATATTTGTGTGACATTCTTGTTGGGGCCTCCCTGTTTAAGCTATTAGGGTAAATTGTTGTACTGGAAATATTAATTTTATAAAGTTAAAAAATTTAACAAATTATTTGTCACTTTTAAAGTTCCCACACTGTTTTGTTTTCAGGGTAACAGACATATTTATCTATGATTCATTTGTTACTGACAGTGTCCATTCATAAATAGCATCTATGAATACCTGAATTTAGAAAGTTCCAAAACCAGTGGATTGCTATAATTGACAATCCAGGAAAATGTACTTAATTAGTATGTTTCCTTGGGCAAAAGTGTCAGTTATAAACATGGTAGCACAATTTCCAAGATACATAGATGAATTTTAGCCATGAATTATACTGATTTGTAGTACTATATTAGAGGATATTTTTACATCTTGAGTATTTGCATTTCTGTAAGAACATGACTTTTGTCATTGAACAAAAAAAACATACAAAATTTCTATAAAAAAGAACAATCCTACTTTGGTGGGTCAAGAAAAACACATGAATCACAGTGACACTGTAGACTGGAGGATGTAAGATTAGCTTTTATATAGCACTCATTTAGTAAATTAAGTATTTTTAAGTTTAGTCATTATAATAAACATTTCATTGAGTTTAGAACTATTGTGTGCTTTTCTTTTACCATCATGTTCTATCCACTAAAATATAAATAATACTTCCTTCCCTTTTTATCAAAGTTCATACTTCCTCCACTTAAAATGAAGACATTTGGTTTTCTGTACCACCTACAGGTAACTTTAACTTCAAACTGCAATAGTGTTGTGGGTTTTTTTCCCCACATTTTTTAATGATTGTTCAAGTACAGTTGTCTCCATTGCCCTCCCCACCCCCAGCAACAGTGTTTTAAACAATGCATTTTAGTTTATTCTAATTTAAATAACACTTTACTCTTTCAAAAATAGAAGACTATATATAGGCAATTAGTAAGCTGGAAATGACTGTTTGCTGATTCTCAATACAGTAAACTATTTTCTTATTTGTGTTTTTGCTGTCTGGTTTGTTACAAAAAATCCTGCAGAAATTTCTTACCTCTTCCTCCTCCTCTTCTGAGCTATCACCATCTTCATTTTCTTCAGATGAGTCACTGCTCTAAAACATGCGTTCATACATATATGAGTCCATGTGTAGATTTACAATTATTTACTTAGAATAGTTATCATGCTAATATGAGAAAGATTGAGACTGGTCACATATAAAATGAGGTTAGAGAGAAAAAAGCATTTTACAATGATCAGATATGTATGAGATTCTCCATTTTTAACTCCAAAGCATATACACTACCTTGAAATACTTCATATGTAAAAGCTAGAGCAATGAATCATGAAATTGCCTAACTCTGAGAGATCAAGAGAACTATCTGGTTCAATTTCTTTATTTTACAGATTAGGTATCTGAAGCCCAGAATGGTTGTAGCTTCAGCCAGTTCAAGGCAAATCTTAGGTAGCCATAGATCACACTGTTTTATTTTCTTTATAAAATATAAATAGGTGGACATTTTGCCACTGAGAGTTTCCTTGCCTGGAAAATAGAAGTTGTTGAATTTTGGGGGAGTTCCAGACAAGATAAAGGTATAGGTAGAAATCCTTTGCTTCCTTGCACAACCAAAAAGAGGATAACAACCAATCTAAAAACAATAAACAACCAGAAGTGCCAGAAAATCAAACTGCATGGAACTCCAACAACCAACATTAATGAACCTAAAAACAACCAAGGAATTATGAACCAAGGAATGTTAGGTTCATAACATTAATGAACCTAAAAACAACCAAGGAATTAAAGAAATGGTCAACCAAACCAACCCAACTGGTGCACCAAGACAAAGAAATATGGCCCACATGAAACAATATAGAAAAACTCCAGGGAAAGAGCTAAGTGATGAGGAGATAGCCAACCTATCTGATGTGGAATTCAAAACATTGATAATCCAGATGCTCAGAGAACTGATTGAACTTAGCTGAAAAATGAAAGAACAAGTAAAGACTACCCAAAATGAAATAAAGCAAAATATTCAGGGAACCAACAGTGACAGGAAGGAAACCAGGACTCAAATCAACAATTTAGAACAAAAGGAAGAAATAAACATCCAACCAGAACAGAGTGAAGAAAAAAGAATTCAAAAAAATGAAGAGAGGTTTAGGAATCTCTGGGACAACCTGAAACTTTACAATATCCAAATTGTAGGGGTGCCAGAGGAGAAGAACAAGAGTAAGAAATTGAAAACTTATTTGAACAAATAATGAAGGAAAACTTCCCCAATCTGGCAAAGGAAATAGACTTCCAGAAAGTCCACAAAGCCCAGAGAGTCTCAAAGTTGGACCCAAAGAGGAATACACCAAGGCACATCATAATTACATTACCCAAGATTAAAGATAAAGAGAGAATCTTAAAAGCAGCAAGAGAAAAGGAAACAGTTTCCTATAAAGGAGTTCCCATACGGCCATCAACTGATTTCTCAGAAGAAACCTTGTTGGAAGGAAGAGTCTGGAAAGAAGTACTCCAAGTCATGAAAGGCAAGGACCTACATCCAAGATTACTCTACCCAGCAAAGCTTTCATTTAGAATGAAAGGGCAGATATAGTGCATCCCAGCCAAGATGAAGTTAAAGGAGTTCATCATCACCAAGCCATTATTATATGAAATGATAAAGGGACTTATCTAAGAAAAAGAGGAAGATCAAAGCTATGAACAGTAAAATGACAGTAAACTCACAACTATCAACAACTGAACCTAAAAACAATAATAACAATGATAAAAACAAAACTAAGCAAATAACTAGAACAAAAGGAGAATCAGAGAAATGGACATCACAAGGAGCGTTTTCAGTGGGGTGAGAGAGGGGAATAATAGGGGAGCAAAGGTACAGGGAATAAGAAGCATAATTGGTAGGTATAAAATAGATGAGGAGAGGTTAAGTATGGAATAGGAAATAGAGAATTCAAAGAACTTATATGTACAACCCATGAACATGAACTAAGGGAGGGGGGAATGCTGGAGGGTTGGGGAGTGCAGGTCTAAGAGGCGATAAAGGGAGAAAATTGGGAAAACTGTAGTAGCATAATCAGTAAAATATGCTTAAAAAACAAAAAAATAAAATATGAATAAAGTGATGACTAGGCTTATTTAATCATTTTCTTAAATATTTTTTACCTAAAAATAATGTATAAAATTTATACACAGACACACACACATACATGCAGGGATGGGCAAATTTATGTTTACACAGAATAAAAACACAGACGCTGAAATAGAGAACAAGTGGGCAGCGACCAGAGGGGAGAGGGAAGGGAACTTAAGGGGAAAAAGGGGGAGGGATTTTGAGGAACAAGTATGAAAGACACAGAGATGAGGACTGGGGGGGGGGGGAATGGGAGGGAGGGGGGAGACCGGGCGGGGGGGGGGGAAGAGGAAAAGAAAAAAAAATGTACTTGAAAAGTAACTAAATAAAATTTAATATTAAAAAAAAATTATATTTACAGTCGTAATACAAATAAATAATATAATAATTAATAAATAATGATACGAGAATAAACTTTCATGTGCTCACAACTGTACACCTACTTTGCCCACCCCATATATTAAAAATTATATAAGACAATAATTATTTCATTTACTAATTTAGGAGATTTTAGAGTACCATCTCTCTAAAGAGCTCAATACTGAATGAGAATAAATTGAACCAAGGCATCTGTTATAAAAATATAATTACGGATATAAGCTAATGAGTTATTTTGAAAAAGAAAATGTAAATCTAAATTTTTGTTTTCAGAGCCTTTAAGACAAGACAGGAGGTTACTTTTCTTTATTCTAGTCTCAATCCAAATTGAATTTTTCTTCTTTTTCTGCAATCACTCTTAATGGTAACAGGTATGCAAATGGATACCCAACCTGTCATTTTCTACCTGGCAAACTTTAAATTTGACTCTGATGACTCAGTTAAGTCTCATAAGTTTTAGAAAATACAGCTGCAGAAGAACCTCTTAGAGATGAGATTTTAGGAAATAATAATGATCCATTCCTACTCAGGGCTATCCCTGCTAGGCTCATTCTTCAGGTGGCCACACCATCCACCTACAGAAAGGGAATGCTTGTCCCCTTGAGCCAAGAATAACCTTGGGTGGAAAAGAGAATAATTAGACTTGTTCTTCCACTACCATGACCCTAATGGTTGTGCTTTCCCTAGCCCAGAGAGTAAATAAAGAATAACATTATATTTGAACTATTTTATTTATTAGTTAAATTATATATAGATAATGATGTATTTATGTAGCATATTTTGCCTCATGGGGAGTGTTTCATCAATTTTTAAGCTTTCTCATGCCTAGCTTTCCTTCTACCCCAACCATATCACTTTTCAATTAATATCTGCAGTGAGAACAGTTTTAAAAGTGCATGTATCCATAAAATATAAGTTTTTAAAGAACAGGAGAAAAGAACTGCATATAATGCCTCCAAGCCTTGGCTTCTTATTTTCCTTTCATTTATGGCTTATTACCAATTTGACACTAAGTCCTATGGATTTTCCACAAGTCTTTAATATACATGTTTTTTCCTTTTTGCCATGACTCCTTCTAACTTCTATCAGTCCATTTATTCAATCCCCAAATACATGTTCCAGGTATTTTACTGAGAATGAGTGTCATGGCAAGGGATGAAGCTGGAAATATGGACAGTTCCCCAGAGAAGAGTTCAGTAAAAGAAACGTAAGATACAGTTTCTACCCTCTAAGTGTTCACACACTAATCCATCATTGGAATCATAAAAAGCAATTGCCTCAATTAAAAATGCTTAAGATGTGCCTTGGCTAGTGGAGCTCAGTGGATTGAGCGTGGGCCTGTGAACCAAACAATTGTGGTTCGATTCCCAGTCAGGGCACATGCCTGGGCTGCAGGCCAGTTCCCAGCAGGGGACACATGAGAGGCAACCACACATTGATGTTTCTCTTCGTCTCTCCTTCCCTTCCCCTCTAAAGATAAATAAATAAAATCTTTTTAAAAAAATGCCTAAGACGTGACCTTATTTATACTTCTATTTCTATAACCACATAAATAAGATATGGTAGACTGCTGATAGCTTTGCAATCAATATAACATATTTCATATGAGTTGGTATTTTAGAAATAGTTATATACAAACACAGACTTGTTTAAATAAAACATGAATTTCAAAGCCAATACAGCTGAATCCATTTTTGTGTGACAATCTGGGTACTAAATATTTTATAGGCTTAAAAGAATAAAAGAGCTATGAAAACATATAAATAGACATGAAAGAGGAAAAGTCCTGGAAATCAAACTTTCCAAAATAGAAAAATTTATCATAAATATCAGGCAAAACTGTTATATTGGGAGATATGTCTTGTTGGATTCTTTTTTAAAACAATGCCTTACTCACAAATTCTTAATTAGTTGAGATACACCTATCTGCATATAATGTGGAAATTTTTTATATTAAATATCTACTAAAAGATCCAAGAACTTTGAGTCTATCAATGAAATATAAAACATCTCCTAATATCATTTCACTATGGACATTTTAATTGGACTATACACATATATATCTATAAAAATTTTTAGGTGGGACTATCTTTAAGTGCCTGACATTTTAGCAAAGTTGAGGAGCTAGTCAGAAAGGTAAATTTATTATCATTTCGATTTTATTTAAGAAAATGAAGCAGACTTTCAAATGAGCAATGTTTGTTTACGGGACTGAGGTGAACCAAAAATGAAAGGCAGTTCTGAAAAGCCACAGCTCTTGTATCATTTGTGCTCACATTTCTTTGGCCACGCACATTCTCCATAATTATTATGGTGCTAGAAATACTTTAAAATGATCATTTCCTATCATTGTATGAGTTAGATATGGGTTAGCCCGACATATGGTAGGATGCTATGCCAAGCCACTGAGCTGAGGCATCGTTTCAAGCATCTTGACTGCGTTTAGTGTCTCGGGAGTCCTGGGTCAAATGGTGCATAATTGGTGCCCTGAACCCAAACTGTATAGGAATAAAAATAGTGCAATTCTGGTTTGTTGTATATTTAAAATTAACACCACACCCTGCAGTTTTCAAAGGCTCTCTTCACAGTTAACCCAATAAAAATAGAAACTTATTTTTAGTGTTTAGTTATTTTCCTTTTTGTTTTCAAATTTTAAGAATGTTTTGTTTTTCTTATGAGCATTTTAGTTTGCTTCATGAATTTCTCTGTTTCCTCTGCATTTTTTGAGCTAATGTAATAACTATGCTTCAATGTAAGACATTATTTTTTCATCTGGTGACCTACACAGGTCAAAAGTTCAAAAAATCCTCAGTCATCACCACTGATTATCAAGAATTTCTTTTTAAATGGTCTTTATTGTTTATAAAGTCAATTTTTTTCCTACCAATTAAAGGACTCTAAAATAATTGGACATAAAACAATTGTGTGACATTATTGAATCAATTGTAACAAGATGATTAGTGGCCTCATTGACTTAATCGTCAGCAACTGGTAAAATTGTCCACTTTGGTCAGTGACTTAGGCAAAAATACCTGGATTCAATGTGCCAAGGTATATGCTTTTATTACATTATTCTAGAATGGGCCCAAAATGCTATTACTCTCTCTGTGTGTATATCTCTGCTTTAAAAGAGAACTAAAGATAATTTTTGTAATATTAAAAACAAACTTTTTGTAGTAAGTGATCTTCGTGGCTGAATTTCAGTGGGAGTTTAATTTATAGTGTTTCATAGTTACATTTGATTCTCTTTCAATTATACTGGATAAAAAGGAAAAATAATGTTTATGCTTACCTGAACTGGAAATCGTTTTAGAGGAGGATAAAAGTAGGCATGCTTATAAAGATAATACCGTGGTCTGTATTTAAAGACCTGCATAAACAAAATGAATGATATATTCATGTGTCATGTACAAATACATCAGAATAAGTATAGTCAGGCTGAACAAGTATGCTAACATTACCCCATTTTCTTCAGAATTCTCTAATTTCGCTCTTCGATGAAAATTTTTCATCTGTTGAAAAGAATATTTAGTTATTACATATTCTCTCCTTGACATAAAAAGATAAAAATGAAAATAAGTGTAGGGTTTTTAATAAAGAACTTACTGAGAAAGCACAGGCCATTCCCAAAATGCTGAGCAAAATTAAAGCAGTCTTCATTTTGGTGATTGCTTCTGGAATTAATGAAGTGGTAAAATGAATAAATATTAAAACTAAAAGTGTAATTTTTTGCTCGTGTTAGACAATGAAGTATTTCATTTGTTTTTATTTATTTCCAATAATAGTTTTAAGTAATTAAGAGCAAATTTCTGCTTTTTAAAAAAAATCAGTCCTTTTATTTAACTGATAGAAGACTGACTTTACCCTGTTTAATACTCTTGAGTTCCACGTTGGTCTTACTTAACCTGTGTGCTGTGATATGTCACCAGGGGACCATTTTGTCACTGCAAAGGGCTCGAATGCTTAGCACACTTCACACTGGGGCTGGGAGGCCTCCTCCTGTTACTGACATAGGAGTACCAGCTGAGTGAAATGAATTCTTAATGTGGCTATGGGACCTGTTTGTTTTGCTTATAATAAAAAACTTAGTGAAAGTTTAAATGCATTTAAATGATTGCTTTTATGCCGATGATCCTACAGGCATTTCCAGCTTCTATGTAGTTTTTGAACTAAAAGGTCATTTGTAAAATGGAGACTAGGCATTTTCCCATGAATATCTTAGAATACTTGGTATTTTTTATGTATGTAAATGATCCATAGTATGTGAAATACTATTCTCATACCATGTTGCACCAACAGCCATGTGTAAGGATCATTCTGTGGGAAGAGTTCATCAGAGTGTCACCTTGAGATACCAGGTGAAGCAGCTTTCTTCAAATTAGGTATTTCCCCCAGCTCTACTGAGAGTTTCCTTCACCAGAATCTGTCATGGGGTGGATCCGGGGCTCTCCGGGGTCAGGGCAGAATTGGAGGTGCAACTCTCAGAGTGGGAATAGTTCCTGGACTGTTTTTAGAGGTTTGTAGCCAGGCAAAGATTCAGTTCACATAAACTCGTCATAAGTAAATGGAGATAGTGAAGTCCTATCTTAATTTTATTGTATTTGATAAAATCCAGTTTAACAGAGGTTTTATAAACAACTGACAGCCTACAAATGCCCTCTTGCACTGGCACACACGTTTGGCTGCGAGTGCTTTCTCATACAGAGTGACAACTTTGGCTACATCTTGGAAACAACATGTAATGGTGGCAATTTTCCCACAATCACACTTGGAAAAGTAATATTTAAAATGTCTTAAAATGTATAAGACACATATATATTCTGCACTCAGAAGGTTAATTTCACATTTTGTCATCATTTACCAAGAATTACTGCATCCCTACTGAATATCGGACATGAAAATGAACATTACATAAGGTAAGGCTTGAGGCCTGGGGAAGCTGTCTTGGGTCCTAAGTCACACTCTATTTGTGGCAGAGTGGGTCTTTTAATTTTGATGCACACTTCCTCACAGTCCTTTGAACTTTAGTAAAAGTTCTTTGTGGGCACACTGAGATGAGACCCTGAAGAGGCTCATCTACTTAAGAAGTTTTCACAGTTTTTTGAGTGCCCTGAATGATACTTTGAATTATGCCCCCTATGATTAAACCCACTCACAAACAAGATTGTTGCTCTGTGGCTTCATGAAAAAGAGTTGGAATATTTATATCTTAAAGAGATAAAAACTTAAATGTATAGAGCTGTAGAAACAGTTTTTATTATATAATTTTCTCATATCAAACTGTAAAAACAACTAGATGAAAACATAGCAGGGATAATATTAAAAGAACCAAGAGATTCAGGTAGAGAGCAACTGACTGCCTACATAAATCTCATTTTATTTACTTTGTGATTCAGCAAAAGCAAAGACCTCTATATTGACTATAATAATCTAGACAACAGTTTAAATATTATTGAAGGATAGTTTTCCAGCTCTAATTAAAAAGTTTTTATTGGGAAAAGTATTGTAAGCTACCAATATTGTTTATTTCTCTAGTACTATATATTTTTACATACTGATTTCAGAACTATAGGATAGCAACTCTTTGAAACTAAATGCATAATGTATTAAAAAGTCATTGTACATAATTAAAATACAGATCAGGCATAATTTATGGAGAGATCTGCACACATTGAGGCAGATTTGAAAATGCAAAATTGTATTTCACTCAGGATATCTTAAATGCCACTGAATGAAGAAATAAACAGTTATCCATGAGATGTGAGATAAAAAGTAGGAAGCATAATATTCTAGCTTATGTGTATAATATTAAGGATTTACGTATATAGGTTAATAAGCTCAGCCTTTTGGAAAGAATAAAAAAATCTGAGGTACTAGTTTACTGTTAAACAAGTATTAAATTATGTAGCTGTTCTGTACAGTACAATAAAATCAACATTTAAGTAAAAAATTTAAAACCAAGTCCAGAAATCGAAAATGTGGAGTGTTTGATTTTAAGAAAATGAAGTTGTCATATTAAATCTTACCCGTTTGCAGTCCTGGAATCAGGAGGCAGGCTCACAGGAGTGAGTGACAGAGATTGACTATTTCCTCTGCTCTCTCACTCACTCATTTACTTGCTCTTGCTGGCTATAAACTCTTCTTTGCCCTCCAACAGCCAATCACTGTCATGATCATGGTGATGTCACAGTGTGGATTCTCACCAGAAAACCCCCAAACACCAACACTTTTTCAAGACACAGGCTCAGTTGAATAAACATGAAACAATTCTAGTGCCAAGAAGTTTGCATTGTGGAATTTAATTGAAGGCTTAGATGAAGATGAATAGTTTGAGTTCTGAATATATATAATATACTGAATTTGAGTTAAAATACATAAATAGCAAAAGATTTAACTATTTAAAATGTCATAATTATACAAGATTTACTATACTGAGAGAAATAAAACTTATTGTTCAAATCATGCCCTACATTAATAGTTTAGTAAAAAATAAACTAAATAACAAGGAAATGAACAATTAATATTTAATGTCAATTATTAAACATTTTTCCTGAAATGTGCCTTCAGTGCCTCAGTAGTCAAAATTAATACATTTAAATGTCAGGATTTATAAGATATATTTGCTAAAATGTATCACTGAGTGTAAAATTGAACCCAAGTAAGCACGCACCAAGGCACATCATAATTACATTAACCAAGATTAAAGATAAGAAGAGAATCTTAAAAGCAGCAAAAGAAGGCAGTCACCTACAAAAGAGTTGCCATAAAACTATCAGCTGATTCCTCCAAAGAAACCTTACAGGCAAGAGGGGACTGGAAAGAAGTATTCAAAGTCATGAAAGGCAAGGACCTACATCCAATGATACTCTATCCAGCTCAGTTATCATTTAGAGTGGAAGGGCAGATAAACTGCCTCCCAGAGAAGGTCCAGTTAAAGGAGTCCATGATCACCAAGTCATTGTTATATGAAATGTTAAAGGCACTTATCTAAGAAAAATAAGGTAAAAAATATGAACAGTAAAATGACAACAAACTCATAACTATCAGCAATGGAACCTAAAAAACAAAAACAAAAACAAACTAAGCAAACAGACTCACAGAAATGGAGATCATATGGAGTGTTATTAGTGTGGAAGGGGAGGGTGGAGAATGGAAGAAAAGGTACAGGGAATAAGAAGCACAAATGGTGGATACAAAATAAACAGGGGGAGGATAAGAATAGTATAGGAAATGGAGAAGCCAAAGAACATATATGTACAAACCTTGGACATGAACTAAGGTGGTGGGAATGTGGGTGGGGTAGGGTTGTGTAGGGTGGAGAGGAATGAAGGGGAGAAATGGGACAACGATAATAGCATAATAAAAATATATATAATATATAATACAAATTTTACAAATATATAATTTATGAATATGTTTTATATAATAAATATAATATATTATATAATGTATAAAATATATAAGAATATATTTTATTGATTATGCTAGTACAGTTGTCCCATCTTCCCCCTTTATTCCCCTCCACCCTGCACTTCCTCTTCCACCCCCATCTTCCCCCTTTACTTCCTGTCCATGGGTTGAATATATAAGTTCTTTAGGTTCTACATTTCCCATAGTATTCTAAACCTTCCCCTGTGTATTTTGTATCTATTATTTATGCTACTTATTCTATGTACCTTTCTGAATTCCTCCCCTTTCCACTGCTCCACTGATAACCCTCCCTGTGATCTCCATTTCTGTGATTCTGTTCCTATTCTAGTTGTTTGCTTAGTTTTTTGTTTGTTTGTTTGTTTATTTTTAGGTTTGGTTGTTAATAGCTCTGAGTTTGTTGTCATTTTACTGTTCATACATAGTTTTGATCTTCCTTTTCTTTGTTAAGTCCCTTTAACATTTTGTATAATAATGCCTTGGTGATGATGAACTCCTTACATGGACCTTATTTGGGAGGCACTTTATCCCCCCTTCCATTCTAACTAATGGCTTTACTTGATAGAGCAATCCTGGATGTAAATCCTTACCTTTCATGACTTCAAACACTTCCAGCCCCTTCTTGCTTGCAAGTTTTCTTTTGGGAAATCAGCAGATAGTCTTATGGGGATTCCTTTGTAGGAAACTGTCTCCTTTTCTCTTGCTGCTTTTAAGATTCTCTCCTTATCTTTAATCTTGGGTAATGCAATTATGATGTGCCTTGGTGTGTTCCTCCTTGGATCCAATTTCTTTGGGACTCTCTGAGCTTCCTGGACTTCCTGAAAGTTTATTTCCTTTGCCAGATTGAGGAAGTTCTTCATCATTTTTTCAATAAGTCCTCAATTTCTTGGTCTTCCTTTTCTCCTTCTGGCACCCCTATGATTTGGATATTGGAATGTTTAAAGATGTCCTGGAGGTTCCTAAGCCTCTCTTCATTTTCTTAAATTCTTTTTTCTTCATTCTGTTCTGGTTGAATGTTTCTTTCTTCTTTCTGCACCAAACTCTTGATTTGGGTCCTGGTTTCCTTCCTGTTGCTGTTGGTTCCCTGTAGATTTTTTTTTTAATTTCACATAATGCAACCTGCATTGCTACCTGGGTCTTTTTTATGCTGTTAAGTACCCAGTGAGTTCCAGGAGCATCCTGATAACCAGTGTATTGAACTATGCATCTGATAGGTTGGCTATCTCTTCATT